ATATATATATATATATATATATATATATTTGGCATCGTCTTCATGGGTATCATCGTTTTCATTCTGGGATGGTGTTTGCATTTGCGCAGTTTCTTCAGTTGCTTATCTTTTTAAGACTGCATCTAGCACCATTATGACGTCGATGCCATACCATTTCGCCTCAGTGCCGCTCAAACTTTTAGTCTTGAAGTTTTTGTTTTTTTTAGTCGTTCTAGTTTTTTTAAACACTTCTTACAGATTTATTTTTGCTTATGTTTTATAATTGGTGTGCACGACACTTTTATTAGTGACTAACTGCGTCGTAACTTTTCTCTTTGGGTTTATAGAGTTTTTACCGTAAGCAGTGCGGCAGATGTTTTGCTGTTTTGCAGTGTTTACTTTTTTAATTTACTTTTTTGGAACTTTGGGATTTTCGTCGTTGGTGAGCGCGCACAGGAGAAATCTTTGGTAAGAATTGAAAAGGCGGTATTTTCTCATCACTTTTTGAAGTAAAGCCAGGACGTAACAGAAATATTTTAAAAATTCCAAAAATATCCCAGGCACGACCTTACTGGAAATATGTGCTATGTGTACGCGCAAAGTGTCAAAGTACCACCTTAGTCTTTTGGAGCATAAGACTGTTTTAGAAATCCCTGTCCCACACCCGCTTATTTAGCACTTTGATTGTAAATCGTTTAGTCGTCATTTGTTTATAGCTTTCCTTTGTTTTTATTCGTTTCTCTGTTCTAGCCTTATATCTTTTTGGCTTTCATGCTTAATTGTGATCGTTTTTGAATTGCGGTCAATCTTCATTGTTGAGTTGAGGTGCTGTTGTTTATTTCGTTGAATTAGGTTTGTTCGCTGTTGTCATTGCTGTTATCGACTACAGTCCAGGACTTCTTTAGGAAGTCGATGGCTAAAGAAAAAAAAATTTCTAGCCGTGTGAAGAAAAGAAAAGATCCGAATGCTCCTAAACGGGCTATGCCACCGTTCTTTATTTGGATGCAAGAGAATCGTGAGCGGTTAAAGAAGCCTGGAATGGGTGTTGCAGATGTTGCCAAAGCTGCTGGTATTGAATGGTCTAAATTAGCTGATAAAAGTGTTAGTTTCTTTTTCTCAAACACTGTTTGTAGTACTCCTATTAAAGGATTCTTTTGATCTACGGAGATAAAAATTTTGATGTGGACTTGATGAAATGAAATTTTTTGATTGCAGAAGTGGGAAAAGAAGGCTGCGGAAGATAAGAAGCGGTACGAGAGGGATATGGCAGCTTACAAGAAGGGCTGACCACTGTCTGATTTTTAGTTAATCTTGTATATGCTATAATCTTTACAATAAGGTGCTAATGTTGGTTGGGGAGACCGGTTTTTCAAGGTTTTTTTTAGAGCTTTTTGTTGTACTTTTTTGTTTGTTTGTTTGTTTTAGAATTTATTTTTTTGGAGTTTGCAATGTATCTACGAAGTTTTCTTGAATTCTGCCTTATTACTTTATTGGTCAAACCCATGAAGTATCCCTGGAAGGACCCACCGAGCTTATCAATCTTCTTTTTCATTTTTTGCTCTCGCTGTTCTTATTTGTCAATCGTTCCTTCGATCATTTCTTGAGTGTTGTCACAAAGTAATTTTTTGAAGAAGGGGGAGGAGAAGTTGTGGGTTTTTCCAAAGATAGTTTGTCATTTACATTGAACAAGTAGAGGACAAGTAAGAATCTTCATATTCTGATTGTCTGTGAAGTTAGAATTACCTTCCTTACCTCAATTACTTCCGTTGTAGTAGCAGTAGTAACTAGGGTGTTTATTATTATTGTTATTATTATTATTATTATTATTATTA